TAAATTTTGGTCAATGACATGAGACAAAGTATATGTGAACTGCTGTATGAAAAGTGAATTTACTCTGTAAATCTTCACCCAAATCCTAAAAAAAAAAAAAAAAAAGATTGCAATCAATGTCATGAAATAAAATGTGTACAAACTGTTATATGGAAAATGAATTTGCTCTGTAAACTTTCACCCAAAACACAATTGGAAAAAAAAAAAAAAAAGATTTAATTGTTCCAGCACATTGTTGAAAAGGCTATTCTTTCCTCATTGAACTATATTGTCACCTTTGTCAAAAATTAATTGACCATAAATGGTTGGGTCTATTTTTTTTTTGCTGCAAAAAGAAGCTTAATTGTTTCCATTTATTTGGTCCATGCTTGCAAAAGGGGCTTCAGGGTAGTTTAGATGTGGCCTTGTGGCCAAGGAAGAAGTTCAGGTGTAGGGCCTTCCCAGCTCGCTGGGCTTCAGAGGCACCTAGGCGTCATGCTTGAGGGTGAGTCTCTCGAAGAGGTACTCGCCCAGGCCTGCCTGGGGGTTGGCCATCCTGTGAAGGTTGGTCAGGTTGTTGCCCATCTTCTTTATGAGCTTCACCTCCTCATCCAGGAAATGGTTCTCCAGAAAGTCACAGAGACTTTCTATGTGGGTAGAAGCCACAGTACAGATCCAGAAGAACCTGGTTCAGGTTCTTCTCCAGCCAGGGCGGCTTCCATGGCATCCACACTTCTACCCCATTCATTTTGGGACAGCTTCTTCACATCTTGAAGAGAGTGCAGCCACCACCCTTGTTTTGCAGCTTCAAGAGAATCTCAGCATCCTTGCATTTCTCCTCCGACAGCTTGTGGAAGAAGCATCCCATGCCATCCAATGTCACATCGTCGTGATGGAAAAGGAAGCCCAGAGAAAGGTAGGTGTAGGAGGCCCGCAGGTGCAGATTGACCAGGTGATTCACGCCAGCCTCCACGTTGGCGGAATAGTTCTGACGGATCTGGGAGCTCATAGCTGGTTGAGGATTTGGAGGTAACCACAAAAAAACGATGTTAGCTGTCCCCAGAAACAGGATGGCTGAGAAGATGGTCTGAGAGGTTGCGCCTGGAGAGAAGGTTGGAGGCTGGGCAGAAGCTGGAGGTGGGGAGTTGCCGGGTCTGTTCCGCCGAGAACACTATTGTTGTTGAAGCAAGAGACAGATCCACCAGACCACTGGGGAGCTTGTGGTTGGGTCTATTTTTGGACTTTCAATTCTACACCATTAATCTATGTGTGTACCAATGTTATAGATCATACTGCTTTTATTACTAAAGCTTTATAATAAGTCTTAAAAAGCAAGTACTATCAGTCTTCCAAATATTTTATTTAAAATATTGTTTTTATTGTTCCATGTCCTTCAAATTTTCATATACATTTTAAAATCAGCTTTTCAATCTTTATAAGAAAACCTCTGGATTTTGTTTGAGATTGCTTTTTATTTGTAGACCAGTTTAGGGAAGAACTGACTTTTTAACAACATTGAGTCTTCCAATGAATGAACGTGGTATGGCATATTTGTCCACTGACACAAGCCCTCTAATTTCTTTCAGCAATGTTTTGTAATTTTCAGCATATAGGTCTTACACAAACTCTGTTTAACTTATCCCTAAATATTTCATATTTTTTACACTGTTACAAATAAAAACCAAAAACCAAACCCACTGCCACTGAGTCAATTCCAACTCATAGGACCCTATAGGACAGAGTAGAACTGCTCCATAGGGTTTGCAAGGCTGTGAATCTTTATGCAAGCAGACTGCCCATTTTTCTCCCATTGCAAACAGTATTTTCAAATTGTTTAAAAAAAAAAAAAGAAGAAGAGGTTGTAGGCTGGAAGAGAAGAATGAAGTATGGGACAGATATGGAGGGATAGGAGAGAATGGGCAAGGAAACCAACTATGGATAGGTAAGAAAACCACTATAGAGTGACTGAGGGCACAGCTGAATTTGTTTATTCTATAATGCATTGTGATCTTTCTAGGACAGTAGTTCTCAACTGGGGGTAATTTTGGCTCCTTCTTCCCCACCTCATCCTTGGGGGACATTTGGCAATGTCTGGAGATGTTTTGATTGTTACTCCTTGGGGAGAGGTATACTATTGATATTTAGTGGGTAGAGACCAGGGATGCTGCTCAACATTCTACAATGAACAGCCCCTGACAACAAAAACTATTTGGCTCCAAATGTCAATAATGCTGAAATTGAGAAACCCTGCTCTAGGAGAACAGATGGTAGACAGTTGGATTAAGTCACAACTAGGGTGGAGCAGAAGAATAACCGAACAAGGGGTCACGTGCAGGTAGTAACGTTATTGCAGTGAAGCCTAATGGGGTTTAGTTAGATGAAAAAGACGTGGTGTCAAAAGCTGATAGGAAACACTTAGAAGACTGAAAAGTCAAGGAGCTATGAAAGTGGTAACAATGATGTTAAGGAATAGTCAAGTGTAAGGGGGTACAAGAACTGGAAGTACATAAAGGACATAGAGCTGCTAAAGTTTAAGATTTTAGAGGTGGAAAGCTCTGAGGGGTTTACAATCCAAGGAGGGACCTGGAAAGTGGATTGCTGGGCTGGGGCACAAAGTAATAAAAGAGAGTATTTTTTTATGAAATACCCACTTGTGGTACAAGCTGGCACTTCTAGAACTCTCAATGAACAGACTTAATCGGAATCCTAAAAAGGCACGCCTCATATTTCTCACCTGTCCTTCACAAGCGTTTTTATATAATTCCAATTTCTTCAATAGGTCCTCATTTTCTGTCTCACACTCAGCCATCTTCTTTTGAAAATATTCCAGAAGCTCCTGAGAAGGGCAGAGGATGGCCAGACGGTCTTCAATAGAAGGCAACGGAGTTGATTCTGCTGAATCTGGCAAAGACACCTCCTTCCACCTGCTGAAACAACTGCACCTGGAGGAAACACTATTTGAAATGAAGACAGTTGTTAGCCTATGTGGAATGAGAAAGGATGGATTCATTTAAGTGTCTGAACTTTATAAGACATAAATGTTTTTTAATAAAAAGGAGGCTTATGTTTTTAAAGTGCTTATGATATAAATCTTGAAAGTTTGATGTTACAGGCTAGTAAATAATCTTATGAACTGCCTTCCAAGTATTAAAGGCTTAAAGCTAGATTTAAAATACATGTTAGAGACTAAAAATATAAATTAGGTAAAATCAGAGAATAGAAATCAGAAAATTTAATACTGAGACATATAGCAGAGTATAAATTGTGGAATATAAATTGGAGTACAAATTTATAAAGTATAAATTGGTAAAATTATAGACAGCAAATTGGCACAATCTAGGAAAACTGCAATTCCTCATGTACTAGAGAAACTGAAGCACAAGGTGACATATATGAAAATATTTGGTGTTTTATTATTACATTGTTTATAATAATAATAGTGAATAACCCAAATGTCCATTTAATAGGATAATATATAAATAAACTATGGTACATTCATACAATGGAATACTATGCAAATTTGTTAGAAACTATGAACTAGACCTCTTTAAATTGTTATAAGAGCAAAGATGTTACTTTGAAGACTAAGGTGCACCTGACCCAAGCCATGGTATTTTCAACTGCCTCATATACATGTGAAAGCTGGGTAATGAAGAATTGATGCATTTGACTTGTGGTATTGGTGAAGAATATTGAATGTACCATGGACAGCTAGAAGAATGAACAAATTTATCTTGGAGGAAGTACAGCCAGAATGTTCCTTAGAAGCAAAAATGGCCAGACTTCATTTCTTGTATTTTCATCATGTAGTCAGAAGGTACCAATCCATGGAGAAGGGTATCATGCTTGGTAAAGCAGAGGTTCAGCAAAATGGGAAAGACTCTCAATGACATAGATCGATACAGTGGCTGTGACAATGGGCTCAAGCATGGCAACGATTATGAGGGTGATCCAAGACTGTGAGTGTGCCATTCGGTTGTACATAGGGTCACTATGAGTTGGAACCAACTCAGCGGCACCTTATTGTTGTTGTTGTTATGTGCCGTTGAGTCAGACCCGACTCATAGCAACTCCCGAGGTGGTATCATTACGGATGTAGATTGCCCAACCTTCCTTCCGAGGAGTGACTGGTGGGTTTGAACCATCAGCCTTCTGGTTAGCAGTCAAGTGCCTTAGGCACTACACTACCAGAGTTCCTCAGCGGCACCTTACGGCATGAATTAGAGATATATGCATCAATGTGAATGAACCACAAAGACAATATTAAATGGAAAAAAAAAAAAATGGAAAAATGTAAGTGGATGCATCCATAGCAGACACTATCATTTATTTAGGATCAAACTTTTTAAGATGAAGTAGTTTATTTTTAGTACTAGACCTGTAAGTACTAAACTTATTAAGGAAAAAAATGATAAATATAAAAACCAGGATTAGAAAATAGTTAACAACCACAATCTGAGACATTTGAATTCCACATCGGAGGACTACCAAACAAAACCAAACTCACTGCCGTTGAGTCAGATCCCATTCATGCGACCTCTCCTTGGTTTCCGAGGCGGTATCACTACAGAAGTAGATTGCCCAATCTTTCTTCTGAAGAGTAGCTGGTGGGTTTGAACTGCCAGCCTTCTGGGTAGCAGTCAAATGCCTTAGGTACTACACCATCTGATGTTATAAATGGCAAAAGACTCTGATCAAAGGCTGGACAAGAAGTTTGTGTTTGTTTTTAGCAAACCAAAGACTTAAGCTAAAACAAAGAGATAGAAAGCAAATGATACAAAAGTGGAGAAACCCTAATGTGAAAACCAGTCCAGTTTGGTCAACTGCATGTAATTCACAACATAACAAAGTAAACAGCAATGTGGAGAAAGTTTACCAGTAGCCTATAGTTGCAGTTAACGATGGTTATTGGAGCTCTGGTGGTGTAGTGCCTAGGCATCTGACTGCAAACCAGAAGGCTGGCAGTTCAAACCCAGCAGCCACTCCTCAGAAGGAAGATTGGGCAATCTACTTCCATAATGATACTGCCTCAGAAACCCAAGGAGGGGTCGCTATGAGTCACATCCGACTTGATGGCAGTGCATTGCGTTGTTTGTTGTTATGGTCTGTACTTTTATAAGTGAGCATATATAGATATTAAAGTGTATTTGTAGCTAGCATGAAGGGGGAAAGAAAACTAACATTTTCTCACTCATCAAAAACTTGTGACAGAAATATTTTACTTTATGTTTCTTATTTTCAATTTTAACAATCCTGGGAAATAAGTTAATACGAAGAGATATTTCAGATATTTTACAAGAGTTGTTGCAATGACAGATGAAGATGACACGCTACTCAGCAAGCTGATGGTAGAAAGAGAATTAAAAGTACCTTATGTTTGTACGTAAGAGGAGCTCTGGTTGTGCAATGCTTAAAGCATTCAGCTGCTAACCAAAACATCATCAGGTTTGAACCCACCAGCTGCTCCGTGAGAGAAAGATGAGGCAATCTGCTTCCATAAAGATGTATAGCCTTGGAAACCCTGTGGGGCAGGACAGTTCTACTCTGTCTGTAGGGTTGCTATGAGCCGGAATTGACTGGGTGGCAGTGGGTTTGGTTTTTTGGTATTTATATACTACTTGTTCTCTGAAACCCAGATCCACTGTCATGGTACTAGGCCCATTCAGACTGTCAAAATCCTAGTTACTACCATTTAACTTGCACTATTTTTTAATACAAATTCTGTACAGTACAAATAGAGAAATGATATCTAATACAGTTCAAGTCAAGATTTAGGAAATAGGTCTCTAAGACCCCTCCAGCTGCTCTTCTGACTTTGGATAAGGGCTACATAAGTTTTGGTTCCTCATTTTAACAACTCCAAACTAAGCAAATGTCTTACCTTCTGCCCACAGGGGTGTGTGTCGGAGTAAAGTTCATCCTGTCTTTTTCACACCTGTCAAATACACAAAAATTCAGAACGGGGGTTAAGAACAGAAAACAAAACAAAACATTATAGTATGTATGTACAGAGACTGGTTCCATATCAAATATCCTATCTGTCTACCTTGTAAGAATGTGATGTTTTAAAGTGTAGTATTTAAAGTAGTTTCAAATCCTGGTATTCCATGCTTTTGGAAATTTCATAAGGCATTTTTCCTCATTATGATGATTAAATAAAATCAGAAAGGTACGGATTATTTTGATGGATATAAGCAAACCCAGGAAGAAAACCTCCTTAGTATGAATGTTAACTGGAACAATGCAAAATAAATTTACAGTCCTTTTTTTGAAATTATGAGATTCAGAAGTTTCTAGTAAGTAATGTTGTTGTTAGATGCTGTCACATTGATTTTTGACTCATAGCAATCCCATGTGACAGAACAGAACTTCCCCACAAGGTTTTCGCCAGGTCCTTCTCCCATGGAGCCACTGGCTGGGTTGGAATTGCTTATCTTTCAGTTAGCAGCCAAGCACTAAACCACTGCACCATGAGGGCACAGCAACTAGTTTACCCACTATGATAAATTTAAGATAAATATAAAACCACTGATGTTCTTTTTCTTTAAATTTTATTTATTTTCTTGTTGAGAATATACACAGCAAAACATGTATCAGTTCAACCATTTCTACAAGTGCATTGATTACATTCTTTTGAGTTGTGCAACCATTCTTTTTTAATTGTGATTTGAGTGAAGGTTCACAAGCGAATTCACTTTCCATATAGCAGTTCACATACACTTTGTCTCATGACATTGACTACAATTTCCCACAATGCAACAGCTTCCCTCCCACTTCCTCCCCATAGTTACTTCTTCCCTGTGTCCTTCCCTCCATGCACTCCTGCCCCCTGAGCTATGGCCCTGTGCATACCCACAAAACCCCCCTGCCATCGAGTCAAGTCTGACTCAGAGGGATCCCTCCTTGGGTTTCTGAGGCGGTATCACTACAGAAGTAGATTGCCCAACCTTCCTTCCAGGGAGTGGCTGGTGGGTTCAAACCACCAGCCTTCTGGTTAGCAGTCAGATGCCTTAGGCACTACACCACCAGAGCTCC